TAGATTTTTGTTTTAATGTGTTTGAACATACAACAGGGAGTATCATTTTTCAGGACTGAAAAGCAAATACTTTCGTTGTAGAATGAGAAATCATGTAGGAAGTTCAAATTTAAAATTGTACAAGTGTAACCAAAAAAAGTCATTGATAAGATTTTATTTATTGGGAACTGGCTACTATGCTCCACTATAAAAAAATCTTTCAATCTTCCCCTGCTCACGTAAACATACAACCCAGAATAGCGAAAAATAACACAGGCCCACCCCTGCTCAATGTTAAGAAATCATTATATGTAAATTCAACAAAAGTTCTAGCTGACACTTGTTGACATAGAGCAATATTGGGAGAGAGGGTTGGGAGATGGGTTAGGATTAGGCTAGGTCAAAGGGTCAAATCCCTTTCCATTGCAAGAGGTATTGATTTTTTTTTCTCTTAGGGGTCATGAACAGAAATGGAAAATTTCTGGATACTCGGTGTCAGATTGCAGGAGTCAAACTAATAGTGAGGTGACAAACTATTCTAATTGCTGATTTTAAACAGCATTCATGTACCGCTTTACTCCTTATTACTTTTATTTTCTCGCTGCAGGTGACTATGATATCCTCTCTATCTCATAGAAAATAACTAGATTAACAACAGCAATCCAAACACCTATTTCTAATGCAACAAATTTACAAGTACTACTACAGACACATACAAGACACAACCATGAAACAGATAAAGAGATTAAGCAACTTTTATCCCTCAATCATTTATCTTTAGATGAACATACGATCTTAGAAAATTATAAAACTTAACAATAAAATTCCATGTTTATAATTTATAGGCAGTATCATGCCCCATGATAGTACCTACAATGGAAATGAATGAAACAGTCTTGATCCAAAGAGGCACAAATGGAAAAGGTGTATCCTAAGTACATAGATTAGAATGACTAGCTACTATCTGTAACAAGACAAATCACCTCCATCACAGAGAATCTTAAAGGCCCCTTCCTCCGGATATGCTTCACCATATGATTACTAGAGTACATCATTGCACAAGGAATCACACACCTAGCAGGCTATAAATAGGTGCTAAGGTGGCATTGAAGTTTGAACTAGAGCTACAGCAAATCACAGGAAAAGAGAAACTCACTGCTTAAGATTCTCAGCAATTAGAAGGGAAACAAGGCAAGCTGATCTGATGCAACACAAAACCAAAAAAAGTAAATACTTTGCCTGAGAAAGAATTTGGATTTACCTCAGTATCTCATATTCCGGTAACTGTCTGCATGATCCAAAAAGCATCACGCCATCAAAATTATTTAGTTACAGATAGCAAGTTTCCCCGTCCATTCATCAGCCACCCCATAGTCAAGGCTCAGCTCTCTCATGGGAGGGATGTTCTCCATTGCGAATAGCATAATATGAGGAAACATTAGATTATTGTGATCATACAGTACAAATTGCACCAGCACATTTGGAGTGGAACTGTGGCTCATGTAACAAGCAACATTTCTCATTTTCGATACATCCATTGCAAAATCCAATGGTGGGATTGAAGGATAAGATGGACGCACATAATCAGGATATATCTGAGATAAATCTCCCCACTCTGTCCATCTATCAGAAAACCGATGTGGATAAACCAAGCTATCACCATTCATTGCAAAAACTTGAGCCATTTCTCTAGTGAGAATAACCCCTGTATACTCACATATAAAGGCACCAGCATGTATCAAGTCCAAGGACCTAACTCCCCAACCTGTTTCCCTTGATCTAAACACTTCCAGTCTATTTCTCAATCCTTTTTGTGTGACACGATTCTGACAGTGTGGGGGGCAACGGCAGAAGGTCCCACATTCAAAAACCACAGGCTTGCCTCTTAATAGAAACCCATTCTGATCATAAGCAAACTCACCTCCATTTTTCATAGCACAAAAGCAATTACCAGAACAACCATCAACACAATCGCACCCAGTCCCCTGCCCAGACTGATGAAATACTTGCGTTGGAAACACAGTTGTCACAAGATAATCATAGTACAAGGGATCCTGGTCAGAATCAATGTCATTGAAAAGGAAAACTGGAACATTCTCCTTCTTATTAGAAATATCCAAACTAAGATAACCCGACTGCCTCACAGACAAGGGCCTAGTCCTAAGACTCTCGGCAAACTTAAGGACGGCGCTACCCATCTCCCCTTGCCCTTCCATTCTCAAAATCTTATACTTATAAACACCAAAGCCAGACTTGCCCACATCAAACCAACAATCAAAAATTCTGTACAAGCCATCATAGACATAAAGCTTACTTGAAACACTGCCTTGACATTTGATCCCTCTGATAACTCTCACTTCAATCCCATAATGCATGCTTCTCTCCAATGCCAAATTCCCACCTTCCAGCTTCTGATGAGCACATTGCCTATTAAACTTGTCCTGCCCTCCATGACCAGTGTAGATAATCACATCACCCGCATCCTCATCATCTTCATAGCCACCCGAAACGATAATGCTGGTTGCAATTGGCTCATGGTTCGAGCTCTGGCTCGCCGGAAGATAGTCAATCCCAGCTTGGACTTGGCCATGTAATCCAACCACACACAACTCCATCCGAAAAAAGAAGATATCGCCAACATAGACCCCAGGAATCGAACCAACGATCCTTTTGTCGCGATTGAGCCACAACCCACGATCCCTGAGCACCGAAGCGGCTCGCAAATCACCTCGGGCTCGTCTCCCGAGCCCCGGGGCCCTCTTCTCCTCTTCCGCCACTGACAGAATGCGAATCGAATCGTATAGCATTCGGGTTTTTCGCACTACGTCTCGGAAGTAGCGCTGGTCCTCAACGTTGAGATCGGTGACCCGGACGAGCTCAGAGGACCGCTGGGGGTATTTTCTTCGCGCAACGACGACCTCTTGGAGCTGTTGTTCTTGAGAAACGGGGACAATTGCTCGCGAATCCGGGTCCAAAACGTCGACGTCACCGAAACGCTGGAGCCCTTTTGCAAAAGCTGTTCGGAAAAGCTCGGAAATCCGATGGAACTCCGAGTACACATTGTCTTGGTCTGAGGGTACGGTGGAGGATTCAGATAGAGGGGTGTGGTTGGGGTCGGAGAAAGGGGTCAATTGGGAATTAGCGAAAGAGTTGGGGGTAGGAGTGGGAACGAAGGGTTCTTGGGGTAGTTGGGGCAGTTGGGTATCGAGTGGCTCGTCGAAAGGTTCGAGCTTGGGTTCGATTTTCGGGACTTTCATGGCGATGGTGGTGGTGTTGGTTGGGGTTGAGCCTGCGGTTGATTCTGGGAGGTTATTGAGGTCTAGAATTGGGATGAGAGAGCCCATTTTTTCAAGAGAAATGAAATGGGTTTGAGTGGGAAGACAGTGTGGTTGTGGAGGTTGAGCATGGAAGGTTGCGGTTGTGGTTGTGGGTGAGCTGTTGTTAGGGTTCTGCAGAGAAATTTGAAGGAGGTACTTTCATGGCGGATTTTGAAATGTAAAAATGACAAAGGGCGTCAATTTTTGGCGTCCAAATTTCCCAGCAAATTAGATTAAAATTGAATGAAACTGACTTTTTTGGACAGAATTGCCCCTGTGTCCCCAAAAGAGTATAAAATATACGTGAGCATTGGATGCTTAGGACAGCAAACATCAGTTGACGATTGATGTATTACAACACCCATTTGGGTCCCACTTTAATTTTTCATCTAGAACTATCTATGCATGTTATGCTTGTGAGGAGAGTTATCGCACTCAAAAATTACCATATTTGAGTGGCATGTTTGGAAGTGTTTCTAGAATGGCTAAAAAAAATTTCTAACAATTAAAAGCATTTTTTGGCAGCGTTTGATAAAAAAATTTGAAAGTGCTTATGAATCATAAAAGCATTTTCTGAAGAAGCACATGTATGTGCTTTTCCAAGAAGCAAGCACTCCTTTTCTTACCTTAATTTCAAGGTTTTTATAATAAAAGCGCATATCTTAAAAGTACTTACAAACATAAGTTCTTTTTAGATAAGCAGTCCCAAATGAGCCAGCGTATTGGAATAATGGTGGTTGTAGGAAATAGAAAATTTGTTGCAAAAACGTATTGATAAGCGTCTTTATGATAAAAATCTTGAATTTTCATATAATAAAAAATCCAAATGCTTTATAGAAAATTTGGTGCAAAAATGTATTGATAAACAAAAGTACTTTTATGATAAAAAGCTTGAATTTTCATTATAAAAAATCCAACTACTTCCTGGAAAGCACTTGGGAGTACTTCTTGAAGAAGCATATAACATCATAAAGCACTTCTAAACTTTCATTCCAAACGCTATCATAAACGTTTTTAGTTGTCAGAAAGTGCATTTAGCCCTTCTAGAAGCATTCCAAAACAAGTCATTATTATCATGAACTTTAAATTTTATTACTAAAGGCAGAAGAATGATGAAACATTCAAAATACCACAAAATAGCATTAGTTTGCGAAATTATTAGCAAATGAAATTATTCATTAAATAAGGATAATATAGTAAATTATCATTATTTCATTTAATAAAATCATTCATTAAATTAGAATAATATAGTAAATTAACCGTTTTTATATTAAAAGAAATTAATGAGATCTTGGATCCTATTTTCATGCAATACAACTAGACTCATTTTCTTTTCCCTAATGTTAAAATGGAAAAAAAAAAAAATCTATATATATAAAGCAAAAGGTAGAGAATGGTAAAACATTCAAAATACCAGAAAATGTCATCGATTAATGCAAACATTAAAAATTGAAATTATTAATTAAATGAGGATAATATGGTAAATTCATTTTTTTCATATTAAAAAATTAAAATTAAAAGAAAAATCATATAATTGATCCTATTTTTATAGAACACAACTACCCATTATCTTTTTTAATTCTAAAATAAATTAAAAATTAAAAAAAAAGCCTCTCGCATGTGCGAAAACACGTGCGAAAAGGCTAGTATATATATATAAGAAACAGCAACAACAAAACTAATGGTAACCAATTATAATGAGGTTTAGCCCAATGAAAAAGGGTCTTGACTACATATCAATGGTCTCAAGTTTGAACCCCTATAGTATATTGTCATTGTGTGTGTCTGAGAGAAATTCCCATCCCTTTTGCCACTATATGGATGTAGTTTAGCCTCAATTTTAACAAACTCACTTTCTTTCTCCCCCAATTCTATAATAACATGAAGATAAAATATAAGTACCAAATTGTTCAAAAAAATGAAATTTAGATCCATAAATAACTAGAATGATGCATGCACGTATCATAAGTTAAAGTGCTTTTGAAAAAAAAAAAAAAGTGAGATATGTGAAATGAGTGGATTGGTTGAAAAAGTAAAATGAGAGTAAAAATTGGAACCAATAAAGTGAGACTCTACCTCTATCAAACAAAAAAGTGAGATTCTACGCAATTGCTATTCTACCCATAATTATTATGCTTAGTTTGGTGGCTCAATTTGGGCTGGATAGTAATTGAATCCAAGCCAGCTCTTATGAATCACACCACAGAAGAATAAATGGCATATTTGACTTCTTTTTTTTATACGAGTGATATTAGGGGACAGGGGAATCAAACATAGAAACTCATATGCATGGGTAAATACTCTTAACCACTTTAACTACAAACCCCTTATGCATATGTGAATTTTTTTTATACAAATTTATAAATAAACCCAATCCTAGACATGTATTTATAAAAAAATCCAAACACTATTTAAGCATAGAAACACACCCAAAATCAACAATTGTATAATTTTTTGGGTGTGTTTATATATGGGTTTTGAGTGTGTGTAATGATGGGTTTTGGGTGTGTTTATAAAGTGTTTTGGGTGTTGGGTTTTTTTATAATTTCAGTCCTCATTTTGGGTGTTTTAGTGAAACTTTTATTTATTTATTAGGATAGATAAGAGAATTATCGTTAATATAATATATATCAAAAAAACAACGTACCCAATTTGAATTTAGCTTGTATTTTATTTATAAATTAAATTAGATTCACTCGAATTATGTTTATACAATTAAACTTAGCTACACCGAAAAAGAAAATACAATAACTAATTAACTCTTTGTCTAATTATATGTCGCATGTCAATGTTGGAAAATGTCTCAAGTTTGAAGACCTCATTTTTCATGGATCAAAAAAACAAAATAAAAAGTATGGCGTCTCTAAGTTTTGCAGAGGAGAGGCAGAGAGAGAAAATAAAACATATAAAGATTTTTTCTTTTCGTTAATTCTTTAATGAGTAAGGACATCTACAATAGGCTCCTTAAACCAACTCATTAGACAAATTTTAGGAAGGAATTGAAAAAAAATACAAATGCAATCATGCTCCCAATCCACCTTCTAAAATAAGGAGACCTCTAGGAGCTCTAAAATATGAGGAGAGAGAAAGGACTTCTAGTGACTCCTTAAAATTTCATATCGGTTATTTTAATACTATTTCAAACATTTATTTAATGTTGAGTACTTTTTGTTATTATATTTTTTTTTGTCTACACTCAATTCCAAAAATAATTTTAAAAAAATTAAAGCATTTATGACTACCTAAACTAAGGGGGGTGTATTTAATTTAGATTTTAAAAGATTTTAAGGAAGTTTAAAAGTTTAGATGTATTCAATCACGATTTTATAGAAGTCTATTCAATTCAAACTTTTTAAACTTCATTCAAATTTGGATGTATTCTATCATGACTTTAAAAAACTTCATAAAAGTTTGGGTGTATACTAATTTTAGGCCATGACAAATCTTTGTTTTCCTCTAGAGATTTTGATAGATATATTATTTTTATACTCAATATATGATTTCACCACTTCTACTGCCACCATCTTATCATGACTATCACTATAGCCACCATCGTCGTTGCCACCACCACCACCACAATCATCATCGTCACTGCCGCCGCCACCCCCACCACCCCTACCACCCCCCCCCCCCCCCCTCCCCCCCCCACCACTCCCCCCCCCCGCCCCCCCACTACCCCCACCCCCACCCAC